TGTGTGTGTGTGTGTGTGTGTGTGCTGTAACCACCCTCAAACATCCCCGGCCCCGGGGTCAGTTGCAACATCTGACTTTTCATTTTCAAATACAAATTGTGAAGAATGTACATGTTTTAATTATCTATAAATGGTTTTGACTATTAACAGACAGATGTAAGTTTATTGCATTCAAACCATCTCTGAGTAACAGAGTCAAATGCAAAAAGTGTTGCAACTGTCCCCGGTTTTCCCTACTTTAAAGATGGTGAAGGAAAGAGAAACATCATCTGCAAAAGCTTCATCATCCAGAAGAGGAGCTCAAAGTTTAGCCCCTCTAGTTCAAATAGTTTGGTGGTAAAACAGCAGTTAATGCTTTCKGTTGGACACTTTTAGAAAGCTTACAAGAAGCAACACATAAATCCTTCTTGTCACCTACACAAAGTCTTTTCACTGAAATAAATTTGTTCTGTCAATCTTTAAGAGGAGSAAAAGAAAAATATAAAACTGAGCTGTGAACTGAGCAGCCGGATGAATCAGGAGCAGGTAAAATGTGTCTTTGTCCTGCGTCTCACAGCAGCTGGTGTCCTCAGCTTCCAGCAGGAAGAGCTGATGCAACACACTGGTAAACATGTCAGCAGGTTTGAATCTAAGTGCTGCTGATGTGGAGACATTTTACTCCTATTCTCCAGCTTTAAATGAGACATGGTGCAAATATTCTGCAAAGCATTACATTGTTTGCTTCCTGTTTTACATTTCTCACAGTGGATTTGTTGTTTAGCCATATGTATATAAATGTGGTTGTTGTTTTTTTTACTCAGTTTTTATCCGGCAGCTCATGTTTGCAGGGTGTGAAAGTCTTCAGCTTCACGCTCGGTTTCCTCCAGCCTCCTCTGGGAATCACGTGCTGCTTTCAGAGGACGGCCACACAGMGCCGGTGTCTGCAAAGTTCAGCTCTCAGATTCTCCCAAAGCGCTTCGGATCTTTGTTTGTAGCGCTGCATTAGCATGGCACCTTCGTCACCGAGTACCATGAAACAAAAAGAAACCTGTTGTTCTTCTGGTTTCTGTTCTCCTCTGTGTTCCTGTCTACCTGGGTCTCTTGTTTGTGTGCATCAGTGTGAAAACACTGGAGGCTTGGCTGAGGCTCGGGGGGGGGGGTGTTTCCTGCTCCTCTGCCTGGAGGATGATACTTTTAATAAGTGGCTGGGCTGAGCAGGAAATAGCCAGGGCCACAGTTTGACACTGTGGGTATTGTTTGGAGCTGTAATGAGCTGGCACACAACACCCCGGCTCAGTGTCACTGTTCACGCTCCACATGAGCCACACTGGGATTCACTCATCTACATGAGAGTGATGCTGACCCATCTCTGAAATGCCACTCTTTGTGTCCGCGTGTCTCCGAGGGCCGAGCAGATCCAAACGTTTGGAGTCTTGAGGCTGGGGACGGTGCTGTTGGTTGCCAGTGACAGCGGYGGTGCAGACTGACAGGGCTTTGGATGCACGGGGCTAGCATTTGTTCAGGTGCATGTCAGAGCTGAACCTGCAGTGTCAGAGTGATGCGTAACAACAAAAGAACAATGCTTCTGCTTATATCTGCAGCAGACAGACCAGACACCACGCTGGATTCTGCACCAAAGGTTAATGCTCCTGGTAAACAAGAAAATGTTGACGTAGGAAAAATGAAACGCACTGTTGAAAAAAAACATAAAGGAGCACTTTCCTTTCCAACAAAATTCAACATTAAACATGTTTAACTTCTTATGTTCTGCAGCTTTTATCATCAAAACAAACATTCCAGTTTGACCAGAGCTACAAACCCAACTCACTAGATTTGATATAAATACAGCTTTACAGAATAGCTTTACTTTGTTCATTTTGAGATTAAAGAATTACAATAAACTCCTGACATTTATTTTTGTGAATAAATTCCAGAACGTATGCTCTTATTGGCTAAAACTGTGGACTTTCAGCTGCATTTTTTTATAAACCAGTAATTTAAAAA